CACACCTTCAAAACTTTGGTGCGGCGTCGATTCTTGATCGGTATCCAAGCGTGCGAAGGCACTAAGATGCAGCACTCGGTGTGCCAAGGAAGCTTTGATTAGGCCGCGAGACCGGCGACACTTGCTTTCGACGAGTTGTACTTTTACATACGGCTTCACACACATTGCACTCGCAAAACACATCTACACGGCGTCCATTCTTGATCGGCATCCAAGCGTGCGAAGGCACAGAGACACAGCACTTCGGCGTGCCAAGGGAGCTTTGAACATGTCGCGAGACCGGTGAAACTTGCTTTCGACGAGTTGTGCCTTTTTCCTGCGGCACTGCGCTTTTGTAAAAAATTCTAAATGTTCTCAACGGCAAGTATCACGGCTCACACAGGATCTTAAAGAACATCTTCGGCAAATGATGACGAACGAGTAGAAAACGTGTCGTCAGCACGCTGGAAAACCGCAGCAAAGGCTAGCAAAAACGGCAAATCGTATCCCAAGCGAGTGAGGCCCGGTGGCTTCACTTGCGGGAGCGGCAAGCGCGATCCAGCAATTGTCATTGAGATCAGTGACAGTAGCCATGAATTCGATGAGGTTTTCGAACTTTTCGAAAGCGCTTTACCCTAGTGTGAGATCGAGTAAATTTTGGAACACGGCCATGGTCTGAGATAGACCCTCTCTTCCAATAACTCTCTGCCAACCAACGTTGCTGCCAACGTTGCTCTTCAATCTAGGCACTCTACGTTAGCGTAGTGGCCTCGAGATCGACCTAAAGGTGGCGCTATGGTCGCGCTATCATCATCATCAAAGCGGGGGTAGGAGAACGGCTGCCCCATAGGCTCTCCACGTTCGCGCGCGTGACGGCGTATATTCTTGCGTTTATTTTGTCGCATACTATCGGTGGGAAAACAATTTTAGCGGGCGGAAAAGGATGCGGTACTGTTCGGTGCTTCAGTGAAGATCGAATCCTGTTGCAAGCGTGCAGCCTAAATTTATATAATCGCTTCTGTGGGTGCGTCGTCTGCTCCAGTCAGACGTTGGAAAGCATGGATAACCACGACTGATGCCTGTCTCCGGCTGAACTGGAATATTTATGTTAAATATTTGTTGTTTTTTTTAATGGATGTGTTGGCTCTTCAACGCGGCAATAAAGAAAAAAAAAAGTAAATTCCAACCCAGATAAGATAATACTGGTACTGTGGGCAGTGAAATCGCAGCTTCTATGTTTTTTTTTTTTTTTTTTAACTTCTAGCTTTTGCAGTAATATAAATATTTAAAATGAAGATAAGTTAGCGCTGTATTAAAAATTACCATGCTATCGAGTTCCTCTGCCCTTTTACTGTGCCATAGTGTGGGTAAGTTTTGTGGAGTCTGAACACATCGACTGCGTTTCGATGAGGAGAGTGTGTCTCTTCTAGTGATCTGCAAACTGCACGGTTGGCAGGACAACTGAAACAAGTGAAACAAACTGTTCCAATATATCTGCCGTGACTGTAATAAACGGGTGTGACCGAGCAACGCAGCAATGTTCCTGTTATTAAATGCTTTTCTCGGTAGTGTGGTTTCATCCGCTTCAATTTTCTCGATGAGGGCCGCGGGTGTCAAGAGGCTAATACTATAAATCTCTGGCTAAATAATCTTGTGTTCAAGCACAGTAGAATCTGCAAACCCAGCAAACGACGCGCACCACGACACAGACAGCATCGGCCGCAGTGATACTCTTTTACTGATAAAAGCTAGCGAGGCTTCACGAGACTTTCCGATCACCCTCCGCCCTCACCTAACGTAAGACTGGGCAGTTGGCATCGATTAACTTTCACATTATTCAAGTAATGCTTTGATTGCAATTTTTTTTCTGTCGGTTAATTGGAGTCCTGTGCTGGAGAAAGTCAACAAGGAGTAAAAATGCCTGCTTTAATAGTTTCGACGTCTTTATTTCTTTTGTGACACTGGCTTGCACGGTAAACCACTTCAGCGTGCTTGACATTTCACCGAGGGTGATTATACTGTTTAAATAATAAGTTATAAAATATTGCATTTTGAAAGGCTTCCCGTGTTCATATTTATTTAGGACTCACAACGTAAAGTTTAGAATGGGAATGCAATATGCCACTTATGACATAGTAAAAGCAGTAAAAAATATGTAGTTTTAACGTCTTTCACGCAATATGACCGGCGAAAAATCAACATACGGATTTATTCCGTATGTTGATTAGTCTACTAAAGGATAGCGATCAGTCGGGTTACTTTTCTAATCAAACCACAGGCCCACTCAACATTCAATGCTTTATGAAAGCCACGGTTTGTGCGAGATAACAAAAATACGTGGGAACAGCGATTGTATACAAACCAACACACTAAGATTATGGAAGCTTCCGACTTAATAATAATCGCCTTGCTGAATTTCTACACGTGGGAAACGATACAACACAACCTTTAGTAAGAAGAAACGGCAACAAAAACATAAAGCATTTAATAAGGAATGTCAAGCTCAGCCTGAAACGGGCTTGCGTCGTCGAGATCCATGTTTCTGAGCGTGCGCCCGTAGCAGACGACGCACGGCGATATCTCCGCTTTCGCGCGTTTCCAATTTCGGCCGCACGGTGGCGACACGGTTCGATCTCGAGCTCTGATCAGCCGAATGCAGCTAACGGAGTTCCCGGTCGGGCCGATTGGGGCGCCGCGTCGCTGGCTTCTCTCTCGTACGTCCACCCAAAGAGCAGATTCGTTGGTCTAGCCAACAGTCTCACGCCAGACTGTTTCGCCGCTGTACTTTTGAGCGCTGGCGTCGTGAATAGGATCTTCGCTACCAAAACCGAAGCACTCTGGGCTCTTCCGACCAATCACCAACCTTCAGTGTGAGGGCAAACGACCGTTTTTGTCTTCTCTTTTTGCTTGAGCTCGTCACTCCAAGCTTTCAAACGGTTCCGCGCGTGTTGAAATCGAAAGTGTAGATTTTACGGAGTACGGAGCTGCGCGTCTGCGCTCAGAAAATGATTAGAGGGATTAGAGACGTCTCTAGTTTGACAGAGATTCTGCCGAGTGGGTTGCGTGCCTCATGACGGCGTATTACGGAGTCTACTGCGCGGCCAAGTGGAGTAACAGTTCTTCAAAAGAACTCGGAGTGCTTATTCTTCCGGTTTCCAACAAACGGCGGGTGAGCCTTTATATCAAACTTTTTTGTCAACGTTCGAAACTGGAAGCATTGAAATATATGATCTCTCAATCTTTCCATTACAGCATCGAAATGGATTGCGTATGCAAAGCGCCAGGACTTCGGAGCCTGCCGGTGAGCAAGCTGCGTCCGTGTCGTCTGTGCAGCAAGCACGCCGGTGCAACCGCGTTTGCAAAATGTAGGAAGATTCGTTTGCGGAAAAACACGTGCCTCACCGTTCTTTTTACGAATCTGTTGCTGCAAGGACTGGTTCCTCCAAGTGAGTTGCTGTCAGAGTCTTTAGTTAATTTGACAGCTTCTAGGATAGAGTACCTAAAAGCGCCCACAGTCAGTCACTCCAGAAGATTTTTTTTCTTCTTCTTTGCGTTGCCAATTAGCGAGTTTGTTTATGGTTTATTTATCGTTTATTCTTATGGAGCTTGCCTCCAACCCTGCGTTAACTAAATTAAAATGCAAGCCTGCTTTATATCTGAGTTGATTAGTTTGTTTGGGTATTCAGCATTTTTGTTTGTAGGAGTTGTTTATAGACGCATTTAGATAATTCGATTATAAGTGCTGTTCTGTTAGTTTGTACATTAAAGTAGTTAATTTGGTTTTTACATATTTGATAACGTTTACTGCCTACTACAGTTCTTGGTTCCGCTTAAGGGGCGGTGGACTGCCGACGGAGTTTGTAAATACGTGCTTGGAATACTGCAACTAATTTGAATGGTGTTCAATAAAATATACATTTCAATGAACGTGCTGTTTTTGTTTTATTGCACTGGTAATTAATATCTCGCGAAGCGCATTTGTTGCGAAGTGAAGCGCGCGCGTCTCGTCTGCTCGACCGGTGCCGCGCTGGCCGCTCGCAGCGGGCCAGCGGCCAGCGCGACACCGATCGAGCAAACGAGGAAAACAAACCGAAAAAAAAAAGAATAATAAAACAAGGAGCGGGAGGGAGAGAGAGTGAAAGAGGGGGAGGAGGAGAACCGGAGGGCGCCTGCCGCGCCTGCGCACGCCAACGACATTGGTGGCGCCATCTGGCGGTCTCCCAATATTTTATCTGATTTCATTTTATTCACGATACCAGAGGCACTCCTCCTACAAATGCCCGCCCTGTTTTAAAAAAGTTTTGGCCCATTTGACTGACTGACTGATTTACTTTTTTCAGTCTCACGCCCTACTTTCTGCCACTTGCGACTTGTGGCGCTAGTTTCTCCTTACCACGGTGGAGGCTACAGCTGCACTCGGCTGCTCTGATCTCGAGCAGAGCCGTCTCGAGGTGCTCCTAGCGGCTCCAATGAGACGCACAACCAAGGAGGTTAGGGCGGTTAGGTGGTTAGGTCTTCGCTAGTCCACAGACGCAACGCTGTCTAGGGCGCGTCAGCGTCTCCGACAGCGCGTCTTGTATCGTCACATGTATACCGCGACGCTAGGGCCGTGTTCCAAAAAGTATTCGATGTTACTCTAGGGTAAGGGTTTTGCACCTAGACGTTCCAAAACCTACCCGCGCCCAGCGCTTTTCAATCTGTGTTGTCACGTGACACGACCCGCCAGAGTCACTCGGATTCATTTGGGTAAGATTTGGAATACAGCCTTACGAGAACGAAACGCGCCAACTGCGGCGCGCCAAATGATCAGTGGCCAAAACCAACTTCGTTGCTCAAAATGCACGCGTCCGACGCTTTGCGGCGTACTCTCGTCAAGCTTTAGTATTCTTGCCGCTTGGTGCGGGTCGGGGGACGACTAACGATGACGTACAATGCGCTGCTTGCAGCGCTTGCTGCTCGCCACATTTTTGCTCAGACTGCGGTGCGGTGGCGCGGTGTGAAGCACATGTACGTCATGCAACGTCATTTCCGTTTCAAAACGATCTAAAAAAAAAAAAAGAAAAAGCCGCAGAAGTTTTTTGTTTGTTTGTTTGCAGTGAAACGGGCAGTGGATGTGGGCTGTGTCGGTCGAAAACTTTTCGGCGACTTTTGATTGAACACCGAGGCGACATCGGCTTCGCGACGATCATTGCCGGATGCGTGTCGGCCTCCGAGTGTGGTCAGAGTGAAGTGCTTCTCCGACGTGCGACCGAGACCCTCGCTTGAACACGCGGCGCCGCCCGATATGGAAATCTGCGGCTGGTGCGGCGACAAAACGGATGCACCTTGAAGGTAAATTGCACTGCTTTTCGTTTTTACGTCCGATGAACGACTTTGGTGCGGCAGCCTTCGGCGACACCTCAGTGCTGTCGGAAACGAGGGTAGCCGTTCTTTTTTTGCCTTTTCCTGTCATGACCTCATCGGCGGCCGCGGCAACAACGGAACGCTATTACAGTGCAGCCCTGTCATCGAGGGGCTTCTCACGACATCGCGCACGTATGGCTTTTTCCGTCAGTCAAAGGGTCGTCGGTAGAATCGTGCTCCGCGTCGTTGCTCGGGCCAACCGGGGACTCCTCGCTGGCCGCGTCACACGTTTCATGGATTCATCCTTTGCCTCCACCGCGCGGTATTTTGGAGATTCTCCGAAAGCCTGCCAACTTGTTCGAGCCAGTAAGAATTCGAGAAATGGGCGTCGAGAAGGCAGCGCTGTGACGTAAGGCTCCGAGCAAAGGCATTGGCAAAGGGCGCCCGGGACTGACGTTCTTCCGAGGTTCGCGAAGTTAGGAGCTTCACCAGCGGTGTGCCGTCTTTGCACCAGTTGGTGTCGCCGGCACCGCGCTGAAAATGCGACCGTCTTCGAAACCCCAGATAGCCAGGCTTTTTGGTGGCGTATTTGCCGCCGAAGCGAGTCTCGATTGCGGCTGTGATTCGGAGCCCGGGAACTGCTGCGTTCCCCCCTGCCGCTGCGAGTGAGCGTGATTTCTGTCTGCCCGTTTCGGCCTATTTTTATTTTTGTGGGCTCTTTCGCGCGCCGCGCACGTTTTTCGAACCAGTCGGACGGATCACAAATGGCGAGCAACTGCGGCGCCGTGCAACTGCTCACAATGGGCACTGCGCCGAACGCCCGTTGAGAGATTTCTTTCTCGGGGATTCGCGATTCCTCGTGGCTTTCCCGGGACCAGTCGCAAGGAGAAAAGCGAGCGGGGAAACCAAAACAAACAGGTTGTGTGTGTGACGTGCCCCCAACCTTGTTCACACGTAACTCAGTCAAGGAAGGTTCCAATCAGTCGAGATAAAGGTGAACTAGTTTCTCGCTCGCTTTGTCACTGCTCTATTTTATTCAGCCTAGTGCAACGCGAGCGATGAATACGATAGCAAAAGAGGAAAAAGGAGTAGCGTTCAGCCACTTGGCTGTGTCTCCTCCTGTCAGTCCCATCGGTCTTGGCCGCGCTTCCATTGCGACCGACTCGACCGAGCTCCCCTTTTGGCCGTCACGGACTCGCTCAACCTCCGTCCAGGACCCCATTGAGAACATTATTGGCCCGCACGCAAAGGCGCGCTAGGCGAGGGCCAAAAGACTACATTTCCTCCTTCCCTTGTTACGTTTTGATGCGTGTGATAGGAACTGTTGCACCACAATCCATGCATATGGTGGTGTTGCAGGTTGGGCTCCTCTTTCCACTTTAGTAGTGCGAACGCTGGAGAGAAGGCTGCCTCCTTTCCACCGTTCGCTCCGCTGAAGTGGAAAGGGGTGGGAGGAGCTTCCACTTCGTTCTTCACCTGTCACTGACAGTATTATGCTGCTTGGAACGAGTCTCCAACTATACTTCGTTTCACCTTATGTTGTACCGCAGCGAAGGCTAGAAGCGCGAGCTCATAGCGTTGGCAGCGGAGAGCTTGTGCCGCCGAGATGTGCCCTAGAGCAAGGAGGTCGCGCTTGTAGCCTTTCCTGCGGTACATCATAAGGTGAAACAGAGTATTCACCTTTCCATAAAAGCGTTTGAGGGCGTGTTCATTTCTGTGTTCGTGTGTTATGCACGTGCACGTGCACTTTCTCTTTTGACCGATATGGCGCGCGAGCGCTGGCTGGACTGTCATTTATCACGTGTGGACTGTGATATTTGTAAACAGTGGAAACGTCTATAGTGTGCTTACCGCGTCCGAAAAAGTGCTCCCTCTATTTCCGCACGATGGCGTCATGCTGTCGCCAGGCGCGATCCTGGCGGCGTCCCAACAGCTTCAGTGTAAATGGCCGACGCCTATTCTGCTGCAGGTCGCTTTTCAGTGTTGCAATCCACGGAAGTATCGGCAGACAGAAGTTGGGACGCCGTCACGACAGCGACACTAGCGTTCGGTGGTGCCAACGTTACTAAAACACTCAGTTGGGAAACTGCCATAGAGACTGCTCTGAAAAGGTGTCCCCAATCTGTCCACCAGAACCGAGCTAATGGCGAACACAACGCCGCCATTTCTCCCGCAGCGGCCACTCGAGGAACTGCACGTGACGTCTATTTTGGCTTTAATCGGCCATTTTGGGCCGAAACAGATACAGCGGAAGAGGTTACAGGGGTGCCACCCCCGTCTCCCCAGCGGACGCGCCGCGTCGTACCACCGAAGTTAAAATGCACCTAGGTCGGGACCACGACCGGTCGGGACGCGCTACCTGAAAGCACCGCTGAGGCATGGTTGTATAAAAACAATATTAATTGTGCCGCAAAGCCTTGCAAACTAAAGATTTTAAAAACATCACGCGTCCTTCATTTTGTATTAAACTCCAATAAATTTCGTACAAAGAGAGTCTTTTCTGTTCGTTTTTACACAAAAACATGCTTTCTAAAAGCTCAAGGTGACCACAGTACAGACAAATGATAAAGAGTGGCGCTGTTGTCGTATTTAGCTCGGTCTCGGTGGACGCCAGCGGCCCGGGTTTCGACGGTGAGTTTCCCAACTGAGTGTTTTAGTCACAGTTTATCATATACAGTTTGCCCACTGTAGAATAAGCCTGTGGTAATCGGGAGACATGGTGTTGAGAGTATTTTTGCATGCAGTGCCCCTCACCACATATCGCGAACTAAACCACTTTTTATGCTTCTGTTTTGTTGTTTTGCTTTCCAAGATGGCGGCGCCCATGGTATTTTGGTTTTCGTTCCTCGCGTTCTCGCGTTGCGTATTGCTTTATTTAAAGCGCCAGTCACAGGACACCATTTCCAGGCGATCACATTCAGACAAGAAAGTCTTTTTTTCACGTAGGGGACTGTTTATTGGATCGATGCATGGTACAATGCAAACGAAAAGAGTCACAAACATAGCGTACATAATACAGCCATAGAACAAAGTTTGCACGGATGCCGGTCAATTTACAAACATGAAACAAGGCCGACACTTTTTTTTTTTTTTTGCGGAGTATTGGCATGTTATGACAAAAATATTGTGGATGGCAGCTTTTATGGCAAGTGTGAAACGCGATGATCGAACACACAGCTTAGTGCAACACATTTTGACAGGTCACAAGGACATCAAGAGCCATGAAAAATAGAGCACATCAAATCATATATGTACTGCACAAGTAAACAATACAATAAAAACTCAAAACTGCATGCACACAGCATTATCTACAGCAATTAAGAAATTCTACAGAATTGAAAGCATCTGACTGTTCTCCGTGTCATAAGTTCTGTTGCTTATATAAAGCACAGGTTTTATAGAGCGCTCGGAGCTCTTTTACTGATCAAAGTAATTTGCGCATATGAGATAGAGAATTTCGAGCAACATCCACATGTGTTTCGTTTTTTTTTTTTTTTTTTGATGTGAACATTTAATTTTTCCCGAACACCGATTGACAAGGAGACGTAGTGCCGTTTTCAACGCAGCAATTCACCGAGGATTTTTTTTTGTTTTTTTTTTGTTTCTAACATGATTTGAACTAGGGTTTGTACCTACCAGAACGATCACATATGTTTGCACTAGTTGGATGCCCTTATTTCAAGGGCACTACTTGAGAACACATTAAAATGAACGCGATCAGTAAATTCTATATCGAAACTCGCGACGCCGAAGTACGCTCAGCGATTTCTCCAGTTTCGTTTGGGCTGCATCAGTTTCCAGCCTCTCTCTACATGTGCAAAGCCGCGGTTACTTTGTTGTTCATGATTCCGAATAGAAAGACGATTCGGCGCTAGCTTCATTCATGCAAGGAGGAAAATCAGCACCTCACTAATATACACACGCTTATAATTCACCACTATACGAGTCTGTCGACGAGTTCCTCAGCGATATTTGCCACGGAAACGACGACTTTCAGAATGCGAAGTATAACAAAAATCATAATAGACAACTTACAAGCTTCTCAGCGGGTCCGTTATCATCAGCTTCGAATTTAAAGGCCGAAAATGCAAGTGTACTCCACAATCTCCGCAGCAGCCTGGCGGCAGCTCGTCGCCCGTCTAGCCCGGCCGCCCGGCGCCTCGACTCCTCTCATTGGTCGTAACCCTAGGTAACCGTGTAACGGTTTTCGGTCAAGCATTCTTTTATTCCTTCCCGAAAAAAATCGGATCTCTTATACTTTTTTAAAATTAGTATTACTGGTTTAATTTGTTTTATAACAATTACTTTTACACGGCGTTTTGGAACAAGAAATCAGAAACATAAAAAGTGTTTAGTTCGCGATATCTGGTGAGGGGCGCTGCCTAACGCCCGATTACCGGACCGGGCCTTGAGTGGGATCACTGTATGCTTATTCACTGTGGTTTTAGTAACGTTGGGTTGTGCTCACTAATCTCTGACAATTGCTGGATCGCGTTTGCCCGCTCTGCGAATGCGGTCACTGGCGGCCATCTTTTTGGTAGAGTTATATCACCTCTAGCCAAGGTACAGCTGCTGCAGCCACTATAATACATCCATGACAGACAGCGTTGTGGCAGTTGTGGTGGCAGGCTGCCATCAAAATATCGTGGGTTATATTTCGTGTTTCATTGCAATTGTTTGACGAAACATATTTTTGAAACTCGGCGTGAACGATAGCCCGATCTGTGAGGACCCGGGGAAAGTTTCACGAAATTGCAGCACCGGAGAAAAGCAGCACAGCACGCATCGAAAGTCGCATCGAAAGCAGACGACGGTAAGGAGTCTGCTTTCGATGCGAGCTGCTCTGCTTTCCCCCGGTGCTGCGCTTTCGTAGAACTTTCACCGGGTCCTCAAAGATGAGGCTACCGTTCACGCCGGGTTTCAAGAATCTGCTTCGTCGAACAACTTCATTCAAGCACGAAATATCACCCACGGTACAGTGTACTAGA